AATCATTTTCTTAATTTTTAATGTTGATTGGATTATTAATCCAAGGGCTTGTGCGAGCAAATGATGAACTGCAGGGAGGTAATTAGTGGTAATCAGTAAATTAGATTAAGGCCCTGGTCAGTTATTGGTCTTAGATAATTTTCAACATTATACATTGGTTGAGTATCCTTAGACTCAATTAATAAATTTTGAATAATCTTAGTTCTCGTATAGGCCCGTCTTTCTTATTTCCCCATTTTTTCCCATGAAACCCAAGCTATTTTGTTATTTTCCTCACTACCTCCCGATAAGAACCTACGTTTGTGTGAGAGAAATGAGACAGATTACCTTTTTAGGAGCTTTTTAGGTAGAAAAATACTAGACCGGGATGCTGGAAAGGACAGAAATCAAGAGAATGGTGTGCCCTCCGAATGACGATGAATTACATCTCCAACTAGACAGCTTGCTCCTTAATGGATGACAGGTACCTAGGTAGATGACTTTTTTGGACCTGCACCAACTAAAACTCCCAAATATTTGTTCTCCGTGGACAGAGTGGTTTCACTTTGTCTTTTAATGGGAACATCACTAAAAAGGTTTGAGTTTCAACTCTCAGCTACCCCTTCCTTCTACCCCCTTAATAGTTGTAAATAATTGTATTTGTTAAAAAAAAGCCCCAGATATTTGAATGGAACAGTACCAATCATGCAATTTGATCTTTTAGCTAGGGCACTCAGTTCATCGTCTTCAACATTAATGCTGTACAAGGCACTTTTGTGGAAGTTCACTTTTAGTCATGACATTTCAAAGGTTCTTAACACCCCTTTAATGGTCATGACATTTCTTTTTGAAGTATCACAAAAAAAATATTGAATCATCTATACATTGGAGATGAGAAACCTCCATACTATCCCTTCAATACACAATAGAGATATGATAAATTTGACAAAATTATAACTCACACTATATCTCATATATTTAATAATTATGATTGGTTCGACAATTTTAATATTAGGACATTTCAATTTTTTCCTTTCTCATAAAAAAATATTGAATTTTCTGGTCTTTGGGGTGTTTTATGTAGCTGATGTAAAATTATGTTTTCTTATTAAAAAAATGACCTAACCAACATCATGGTTACTAAGGGTGGGCACGGTTCAATTTCAATTGCAACAGAAACCAAATTATTAGTTAATCAAAATTTTGGGTTTTAAATTTTAATAACCATTAACCAAACCTAAAAAGACAAGTTTTATTAGTTTTGATTACACTTTTAAGAGTAACCATTCGGATCAGTTTTAGTTTTAATCAAAAAATTATTTTTATATTTTCAGTATTTTTCTGAATTCCTTAATTAGTATTTTATTAATTTTAATCACTAAAAATCTAAAAATTAGCCAAATAAATAATTTAGTGAAAATGGTTAGAAAACCTCAACAAAAAAAAAAATCTAAAAAGCATTAAAAATTTTACATAAAAGGTTTTTGAGCTAGATTTTTTAGTTATACTTACCCTAGTTATTGGTTTTTCATTTTTAGACTTAGTAATTAAAACCCAAACTATTTAAAATTGGTTCAGTTTTGGTTTTTAGTCAAATAAACCAAAAGCCTAATCAAAACCTGCCCATCAGGAATGGTTTTGTCGATTTTCAGATTTTTTTTTTAATGCAGATTTTTTGGCCTAAGCCTAATGGTTACATGATCCTTTACAAATGCTTTTTGTCTTAACATGTCTTTATTTGCTTCAATCCAGTAGTTTATGTCCTTAATTTACACCTAAAAAATAACGATGCGCCCTTAAAAGAAATGAATAACTTGGAAAATCTTGGATGGCTCAGAAAAAAAGGGGAGAAGAAGAAGAAATTCCTTGAAGATGTTGGGTGAATAATAGGTTTTTTCTCCAACTTTTATCATAAGTATCAGATATTATCTTAACTTTTTATTTAGACTAAAAATGATCCTAAACTTTTTCAAAATAAACCTAATTATA